CATGTATAGTAGGATAATTTTGGACTCATAAGTGAAACACAATATAAAAATTTTGAATGCTTATTTGCTTTTTCAATAATACCTTCATAGTATTCATTATATATGTTTTGTTAGCCTGTGGAGAACAAAGTGGCTAAAAGTCTTCCTTTTCATTTGATTTTTGTCAAAAATGCATGAATTAAAATATTAGGCAGGCTGAATTCTTCAGCTAGTATTTGGCATCAAAATTTTTATATCAAGTATAGATCAGCAGCTGTAGTGCCATGTACTTTTTATCGAGTTTTTACGAAAGTTTCCTTCCACCGCAAATATTGTTTACGCAAACAGTTTGCCTTGCTGTGTTTAATCATATTTTGTCAAATCATTTTTGGCATTTGAAAGAAAGAGACTGACTGTGGAACACTGTGTTGTAAAATTTGTAAAAAATATCGTTATCATTAAAAACAAGGTGTCTGAAATGGAACTATAATGCTACCAGATTAGAACCATCATTTGCTTCCAGTTCTGTTGCAAAAAGTCAGCTACAGAATGTTACCAAATCATGTGTACAGCTTTAGGTACTACAGTGAAAAGTCGTTACCGGACTCGTCGGGACTTCGGCGATTCCGGATTATAGATCATCAGTTTAAATCTCGTAACATGGCATACACAAATTCTAAAATTAAAAATATGAAACCGTATTTTAGGAAATAAAGAACAATTATGATCTAAAGGGTATCAAAATTTACAAAAAAAGAAGCTTAATATTTATTTGTTTACTTTATTAAACATTTCTTTCAATGTAAGTTGTTTCGTTTTATGTGATAATACTTTCTCTTTAATTCTATAAACAGACATAATTTCTTGTTCAGTTAAAAAGCTCCGCTGTTCAAGTCCCGTAATTGCTGTGCCGAGAATACTGACTAACTTGTCAATCGAAATTTTTTCGTTTTCACTAACCTCTCTGTCACCTTCTTCATGTCTTCATCCATTTTTTGCAGCAATTCCACTTTTTGTTTGACGGACATCGAGACATACTTTCATTTTGTAGATCCTTTGGGAGCTCCAGAATCGGAAATTGACATAATCGAAAGTTCAAGTTTACTTTTATAAAATTGCTCTTACAGTCTGCAAAAAATAATAAGCTGCATCGAATTCGAAGATTAAGGAATAACGCAAGCATCAACATTAACTGAAATAGATAATTGTATAATTTTAGCTTATACCGTTCGTTATACATTAAACGCGCACGCGAAAACGTATTCTGCACTTGCGCACACGCATACGCGCACGCGTAAATGCCTATGCACATGTGTCAACGCGGCGCATGCGCAGAAAGTTTTTAGCTTTGAGGTCCGGATTATAGATCATTCCGGATTATGGGTGTCCGAATTAACGACTTTTGACTGTAATGGTGAATCAAATGATACTGTGAAGGTTTGGTACCAAAAGTTCAAAAACAAAGACTACGACATTCAAGAAGTAGAGCACTCTGGCTGACCTACTGATGTTGATGAGCCCATCTGTGAGAACTTGTGAAAGAAGATCAGTATGCAACCACTTGAGAGCTTGCTAAAGAGTTACACGGCAGTATTACATCCATTAGTTGATCTATGCGTTGCATAAACTTGACGTACAAGTTCAATCGCTGGGTGCTGCATGAGCTGACTCAAGCAGAAAAGAACAGACGTGTTCCGGCCTGCACTGTAATGAAAAGTGGACTTACTTCAACAACACGGGAAGGGGTTGGTCTGCGCCTGGTGACCTCTGTCGGGAACGTCGCAAAGCACAGTTTGACTAACAAAAAGATCATGCTTTGTATTTGGTTGGATTGGCATGGTATTCTCCATAAATTATATGTGGAGAAAGGTAAAGGTAGTAAGATGAAAAGCTAGTCCGTGTATCAAGGAAAAACGCTGAATTGAGTTCCGGCGCAAAAAGATAATGCAAGACCACATGTGTCTGCATTCACTGGCTGGACTTTGTATGGACTGGAATGGGATCTTTTGCCACACCCACCATATAGCCCCAACATTGCTCCTTCGGACTTTTACCTTTTTTCATACCTGCAGCTACATGTTGCTGATGCTATCGTCCATTCTGCACAGGACGTCTGAAATGAGGTTGATCTGTTTTTGAAGTCACGGTCACCAAGTTTCTGGGCCAAAGGCTTTGAAAAAATGGAAGAAAATCATAGATTTGGGTGGTGATTACTACTTGCACTAAAAGTACTGTTTTCATGTTTTTTTTCCTAACTTTATCAAGAAATTTTTTTTGCAGAAAACTTTCATTACAACCAGATACATAGTTCATTATTGGTTGTAATCTTTGAGCATCTTAGACTTATTGTCCTAGCTTAGATAGACAGTTAGATTTATTGTCCTGTCTTTGTAGTTTTTTTTTTTCCCCTGAATAAAAACTTGTGTATATGATAAATGTTCCTTACTATAAATGTAGTATTAGCAAGTGTTTCTATTAAAGTTCTGTCAAGTTTAAAGCAAAATATATTAATTTTTAACTATCACATTCATCTTAATCATGTTTTTCAAAAAATATTTACATGTTTTTTCCTAAATTTTGACAATGTACAATATATATTTAATTAAATAACATACTTTAGGTTTTAAGTAGAGCTGTTGATTTCACGAGAAAAATAATTTTCATGTCCTTTACAGACATTTCTTATTAGATCATACATGTATTAGAATTAAAATGCATATTGTTATCGTAACAGTTTAACATAAACATTATCTATTTCATTCAGGTTTAAAAATCAAATTAAAGAAATGGCAAATGCAAATCACATTGTACAGTCAAAAGTCGTTAATTCGGACACCCATAATCCGTAATGATCTATAATCCGGACCTCAAAGCTACAAACTTTCTGGACATGAGTCACGTTTACGCGTGCATGTAAGACCTTTATGGCTGCGAATTTGCGTGTGCGCATGCGCATAATACGTTTACGCATGCACGTTTAATGTATAACGGACGGTATAAGCTAAGCTAAAATTATCTAATTTAGTTAATGTTGCAGATTGCGTTGTTCCTTAATCTTCGAATTGGATCCGCTTATTACTTTTTGCAGACTGTTAGAGCAATTTTATAAAAGTAAGCTTGAACTTTCGATTATGTCAAAAAGAATTTCCATATATATTTACTAATATATAAAGGATCTACAAAGCGAAAGTATGTTTTGAAGTCCATCAAACAAAAAGTGGAATTGCTGCAAAAAATGGATAAAGGCATATCCTTTGTTTCTCTAACCATTCCGAAATCTGTTTATCAATTTCACGCTGGCTCTGCGGGGGGGGGGGACGATCGTGGCGCGCAATGAACTGGAAGTTGATCTGTCAGCACTATCCTTATCTTCAGGCAGATGTTTTTATTTTATTCAGCTTATAATTCCTTACTAAATGTAGTATTTCATCTCGATGTACTCCGTCTTTGATATGATTTAAATCAAATTCCTCGTCATTATAAATATCACGAATACACATCAATAGTTTTCTGGTTGCAATTTTCTAATTTCGACTATGTGTAATGTATGCTTTATGCATGTGCGCATTGAAAGAATTGTTTAATAAAGTAAACAACGTTTAATAAAGTAGTAATGTTTTTAGTAGAGTTTTTTTTGTAAATTTTGATACCCTTTAGATCATAATTGCTCTTTATTTCATAAGTTACGGTTTCATATTTTTAATTTTGTAATTTCTGCATGCCATCTTACCAGATTTAAACTGATGATCTATAATCCGGAATCGCCGAAGTCCCGCCGAGTCCGGATTAACGACTTTTGACTGTATTATATTTCATTTAGAGCATTGCTACTTTTGTGGCCGTTGTGAAAGGAAATCTCCACGCTTAAAATGCATATTGTGTTTGTGTGGAGAGGATTTTCAATCGAAAAATGCATAGAAATAATTAAATCATCACAGGAAAAAGTAAAATGTAACAAAACCGCACTTCTTCATATTTCTTACATATAGATTCTGGTGAACATAACCTGAAAGTGTTGTTAATATGGTTTCAAAGGATTTATGTTTTTACTGGTGCTAAGGTTTTTCTTGATGGGACTGAAGGTGGTGCAGTACTTTGTTGTTTTTTATTGTGCCATTTTGTAAGACTTCATAATCTTTCTACATTTTGAGTGAAAGCACTGATTTTTTTATCAACAAAATTGAATTTATAATTTATAGACTTCTGTTGGCTGTGATATATAAAGTTTCTTTCTTTAAAGAACAAGTTATGTGGGCAAGTTGGTGCGTTTTTAGTAGAGTAGAGTTACTCTTTGGTCCACAATCACCTCTGGTCATTAATCACAGAAGTTGAAATTTGCTGTCATGGTGGCCACTGCAATGCAAAGTGCACTGAAATGTCTTCTATAATCCCTTCTCCCCAGTTTTGGAGCAGTTTCCTCCCATGTAATCATGTTATGCACACAGTCACATGTAATTGGATGTTGAAAATGTTTCCTTTTCATTAAGAATGCTGAATAGCTATTTTTTGAGACTTGGCTTATTTTTATGAAAATTTTATACATGGCTTTTCTGTGTACTTCATATAGCATTCATTAATGGTAAAGTTTTTATGAATTACAAAAAAATGCAGTGTCTTTTAGTTATAGATTTGACTTGGATGATAGGTAACATCAGTTAATTAGCACTATAAAAATCAGTGTTCTACTGTGAACATTATATATGGAATACATATATGGGTATGTGTATATGGGTCCGTGTTAAGTATTATAATTATTTTATTTGTGACTTGATTATCATTTTATTTGTGACTTGATTTATTATCATTATTCAGTTGTATAAGCTATCATAAGCCTTTTATCTCAAAGGTCAGTTTTCACATCTTTAATTTTTTTGAAATATGTTTAATATTTATTGTAATAAAATTAAATATTGTTTATCGTAATCAATATGTTGGGGTAGATTTAGTTCATTTTAAATATTTAAAGATGCATATAATCTGTTTGATGTTCTTTACTGACTATTTTATTTTCTTTCTTTTAGAGTCAATTTAGTTGTTACTGAAATATTTGATGCTGGCTTATTTGGAGAGCACAGTCTTGAAACTTTAAATCATGCATGGGAATATTTATTGCTGGATAATCACAGCAATATATGCCCTATTTCAAATGTTAATGATTTATCACCAAATTCTTCTGTATCATGTTCAGATGTTAATGACTTAAACAATGAAAATATTCAGGAACTAAATAACAGTGAAATAACTAAAGGAATGATCATACCACAATCTGCTACCGTGTTTGCTCTTCCTGTAGAATGTGAACGATTTCGTAAATTTTTCAGGTAATATTCTCATTTTTTCTTTTAATTTGTAATAAATGAGATGTGCAGTATAAAACCACAAATATCTTTTATTGTGGAATAATATCAAAAGTAACTTTAATTTGGATCATACAGAGCTGAAGTAATATTCCTGAAGGTTTTTTGGTATTTTATGATTTTATATCTCATCTTCATTTTTTGGGGGAATGTTATAGGGAAAATATAAAATTCAGTAATTACAGAATGTTAACAGTTATATTTTTAATTGTTTTGTGTTAAATATATTTTGAAGAGGGGAATGAATCTAAAGTGCAATATTTTTCATAATAGTTATTTTTGAAAATTAAATAATTAAAACTGTGGTTTTTGTATATTACCATTATTAAAATGAAAGGAAACTTTATTGTACATTATTATAATTTATTTAAGCATTGATATCTATAACACCACACATACAAAAAGACAGAAAAGTAAAATCTAATCTGTTTATGATTTTTTTTTGGGGGGGGTAGGGGTTAAAATAAGTCAATAAATGCAGGTAATTGTCATGGTCAGTATGTAGTTTATTCTGTTGATATTATTGGATTGGATTATTTTAATTATGGCAGAGCATACAAAAGCTGTTTGGAAAGGATGCCTTTGGAAGGGACTTTTTAAGGAAAATGGGTCATGCTCGCATTAATTATGGGGTAAATCATGAAAATGTCTATACAAACGGCAACAGGAATTTTCACCAAAGATTGCATTAACCTAAGGATTTCACGCGAATATGCGCAAAATTTAAGACAAATTCAGTTTTTAATGCACATTTTTGCATATCGAAGCTGAGACGTCTGAAGGTCATTTCTATTCCTATTTTCTACCCTTCCCCACATTGTGGAGTGTGCCAACAGGAAGTCATTTGATTTTCTTTTTAACAGGGCTTTTGTGCTATGTGGCAGCTTTTTCATAAAAGTTACAACACATGGATGGCAGCTTTGTCATAAAAGTTACAACACATGGATGGCAGCTTTTTCATAAAAGTTACGACACATGCATGGCATGTGTTAAAATTCAGAAAATATTTTTTTTCTCAAATATTTTGTAATTTTGTGTTATTAATTGCCATGTATTATTTTAATTTGAATACATTTGGCTTTGTAAATTTTATATTGGTTTTCATGGGGGGGGGGGGAAATATGTGCAACTAGCTGATTTTGCTCGGATTCTTCAAGAATTATCTGATGAAGAAAAGGAAGACAAGGAAACCTTTGGATGGGAGAACAGTAGCGATTTCCATTCCTTACTTTCTTTTATTTTTTAGAAATAAATAAAAACATTAAAGTTAGTTTAAAGTGCATTTTTGTAACCAGTAAGAAGTAAATTTCCTTGCAGAAGTAAGTAATGCTAAACTTACTTCTGCAAGGAAAGTACTTTTTTCCTACTAAGGTGTTTTCCTTTTTTATTGTCTATACTTGTCTTTGATAAATATTGAAATTAGCTTAGATTTTAAAATACAGTTATTAAATATAAATTTAAAATTTTTCTATGATGAAATACATCATTGCATTTCCATCTCTTTAACATAAGAACTTAAAAATAGTTTACTTATATTTGAATTGATATCATTTATATTTTGCAATAATAAGATTAATATTTTATTTCTTAACAAATTTATTATCAATATTTACTCATTTCTGTCATTTTTCATGCCCAAAATGGTAAAATAACGGATGTCTTAAAAAAAAAAAAAAAATGTGCACGTGCTCATGTAAAATTGCCAAGCGCGCATGCTGGAACGTTTAATACTGGTATTTCAACCTGGGATTAAAATCAGTCAGGCCGAATTATCAATATTTAGCAAACATATCCATTCTCTCAGTGGCATATTAGTATCATTTCAAAAAAAGATATACTATGTTTCATTCTGAGTATGATGTGGGAATTGTTTGTCACAAACTGGAAATGTTATACAAAATGATCTGCTTCCAGTGTTCATATCAAATTATTTACTGAAATAATTGTGCTATAACTGTGTTAAAATAACCAGTGTTAAGTCTGAAAATTATTGATTTTTTTTTAGGTAGAAGTAGTATAAAAAAATTTTCCACTTCTAGAAAAATTGTTTTTTCTAATTTTTTTCGTGTATAATTTAGTTAATTTAATATTGTAAAAGTTCATTTTGATCTAAAAATGGCTAATTACTTTTCTTCTTCAAATATTGAAATAGATTAATTTTCAAATGCTCTTGCTATTTCTAAAAGATGCTTGAATATGTATTTTTTTTTTTTTTTCCCTCTTTGAAAACATGCAGACTCCCTGTGCACCACATATGTACAACATGGGGCTTACAGAAGTAAGTAAACTAAAACATTAGAAGTTACATGCATAAATAAAACAAACAAAAGCAGGGAACAGCAGTCATGAAAACAAATAAGTTCACTGGCCAAGTCATTCCGAACATTTTCAAATCGTTCTGTAAGCATATTATAGGGCCATCAAATATAGGGCATGAGAAAATCAAATGTTCCACATCCTGAGGCACTCTATTTGAACATTCACATAAATTGTTTGATCTTAGATTGAAACGAAACAGTTAACTTGCAAATTTACTGTGACCAGATAAAAACTGAGACGCTTTAAAATTTATAGAGAGGAAAGACTCGGAATGCAGTCTATGGTAAATAGAAGGAAAGAACTTTTTGGTGACCTCAGCATTACAAGATGAAATATAATCCTCATTTCACATAGCTAAAAGCTTCTTATAATGAAAGGACTTCCAATAGCTCTTTGGAATGCTAATGTTGATATCAATGGGTAAATATAAGGCATCTTTAGCTAAGAAATCAGCTCTTTCATTTCCATAGAAACCATGAATAGCACGCACATAAGCAAAGCAGATATCAATTCCTCTATTTTTAAGTGAACTAATAGTTACTAGGGTTTTGATAACTAATTTGTTGCAGCTGGTAATACTTTTTCAAAAGTTGAAGAGAGAGAATCAGAACAAATAAGGTACATTGAGGATGTTGGCCCATTATCCTTAATCTGTTTGATGGCAAGATAAATGCACAGAAGTTCTGCTTGAAAAACTGTGCATTCATTCCGTATACGGTGTTTAAAAAAACAAAGTTTGGAATGGCCTTCAAAAAGAACAAATGCAAGGCCAACCTTGTTGTTCATCTTGTTGCCATCTGTTAAGAAAACCATATGAAACCATTTCAGCAGTTTCTTTATAATCGCAGAAATTTATGGGTTCTAAAGTAGCGGGATGAGGAAGATCAGTGAAGTGGACAATTCCATTTATACAGTCTTCCAACGTATCAGTTGCCAATGAATCGAAAATATTATTCTTATATGCAATTTCAAAATCAATAGGCGGAACTCCTGCAAGAACAAAGTAGCCTCATTGCTTAAGGTTCTATAACCACTAATAATACAAAGAATTCTCGGTTGAATCTTTCTTAAATTTCTTTTGTTAACCTTCTTGGCAAGAACATGTCCCCAAGTACTACAGCCGTACAAAATGAAAGGTACAATACACTGCTTATACATCAGTTTCTTAACATCGTAGCTTACTCCAAAAGTATTTTTGGCGATTCGGTGAAAGCCATTAATGATTTTTTCACATTTAGCAGAAAAGAAGTCAATGTGCTTTTTCCGTGTTAATTTTTAGTCAAGAATGATGCCAAGATACTTAACATTTTCTAAAAATTCCAACAGAGAGTCATCGAGCATCAAAGTAGCAATATTTTGTTCATCAAATGTTCTGGAAACTAGCATAGCTTTACTTTTTGAAGGATTGAAAGTGAGTTTGTGAGAAATCGGCCTACTGGAGACTTCTAGAACTTCTTGTGCTCTCAAAAGAATGTTATTCAAAATATTTCCTTGGAAAATTAAAAGTAAGTTGTCTGCAAATGCAATTTTTATACAACCGTCGAGATGATTTAAAAGATCATTTATTATTATGTTCCAAAGCCTTTATTATATTTTTCTTAAAAATTTTATAAAATATTCATGCTAGAATAATATAATTTTCCCCTTATCCCACAAATAAATGTATATAGAAAAATATCCGAACAATCGCAGATTTTATTTAACACAACACACAATTAAAATTAAAAAATATTAAAACTGTCTTTCATAAAAATTCAACGAGCAAACAACGAAAAGCAAGCAATGTTTCAAAATGAGACAGTGTATGATATTCTTTGAAACATGGGTGTATGCAAAGTCCAAGGTTGCATTAGTCACAGGAATATAATATATGCTGCTATTTTACTCAGCAAATTTGACTCATTTAGCATTTGTGTATTTTCTACCGTCAGATAGTACTTTCGTTTTGACATTAAAAAAAACCTTTTGCTAAGTAAGCGATACAAAATATTCGTCTCAATGCCGGAAAACTCGAAGAGTAATAAAAAAGTCTCTAATGATAGAACATCTACTCCACTATAACTGATTAAAAAATAAAATAAACATAAGCAAAATTAAAAAATTAAATAAACATAAGAAAAATTAAAAAATAAAATAAAAAACATAGAAAAATTAATAAATTAAATTAAAAGTATTCCAGAGCATCCAGAACGTGTTCATTTGTTTATATAAAATGAGGCAGTAAGAGCCATTACATTACTCAACACTAGCAAATTAGCGATTGTGTATATTCTGATTGTGTATATTCTACGTTTAGATACAGCTTTCGTTTGCCATTAAAAAAAGATATGTTTCGCTGATGATTAAAAATATTCATCTCAAACCATGAAAAATCTAAGAGTAAGGAAAATAAAAAAAGAAAAAAATATAAGATTAATAAAAAAAACTCTATTGATAGGACATCTATCCCACTATATTGCAAAAATAAAAATAAAAAGTAGCTCAATGCAGTGAGAGCATGTGCATTTGTTTATATCAAATGAGCAGTTAAAGAGACATTACATTGCTCAACACCCACCCACACTCACTCTCACCTCAATCGCAATACAAAATTGCATAAAACAAAATAAACAAAATATAAAAATCATTGCATAGGAATGAAAGTA